GCTGCTTACTGGCTTACTTACCCCTGGCTTGCTCAACTTCTTTTATAATGCCCAGGCACACCTGCCCAAGGATGGTACCACCCCCAGTGGGCTGGGCCCTCCTATATCAATTAGTAAACAAGAAATTCCCCACACATCAGTCTAATGGAGGTAATTACTCAAGAGTTTCCCTTTGCCCAGGAGACTCTAGTTTGTGTCAAGTTGGCAAAAACTAGCATAATATATTGAATGTCTGTGACATTATTTCTAGTCTAACGTGGGATCCATTAATAGGCTTAATAGTGATATATATATACATACTAATGGCCATATATGCATATATATAAATGTATATGTATAACTTAATTTATATTAGTTTCATATTTCTTACTGTATATAGGATTTATGGGAGTATAAAAGGAACTTAAAGTGCTGAGTATTTTATATTCTGAAAATTCTTTATAGTCACAGTATATTCCCTATATTGATTTTTTTGCTTGGGACTACTATTTTTACAGCTCTGAGATGAAGTGAACCTAATCTAAAATGTTTAACATGACATGATGAGGCATAGTTATCCATCTATGAAATGGTCATTAAAATTAAGATAATGAAAATACCTATAACTTTTAAAAGTTACTCCTGCCACTTTGTATTCTCTCTTGTCCTTCTCTAACCCTGACCACAGATATCCATTCCGTCTCTGTTAATAGTTTCCAGTTCCTAAAATTTTATGTGATTGAAAGGGTCTTTGACATTATACTTTGTATAATTATTTTGAAACTCTTCCTCGTTGTTTACTTCAAAAGTCAATTTCTTTTTTTATTACTGAGTAATGTTCTATTGTATGGATATAGCATAGTTCGTCTACTAAACTATTTATGGGCATTTAGCTAATTTTCAGTTGGTTGTTATTAGAAATAAAGGAATTTATATGGACTTTTTTGTGCACACTGAAATTATTCTTTCATTTAAGTTAGTTCAATGTCAAGGAATAGAATCACTAGATCATAATGTAGATATAGTATTAATTCTGTGAAGCAATTTTTTTAAAGTCGCATATCATTTCCACTAAAAGTATGTGAAAACTCTAGAGGTCTTATGGTTCCATATTCATGGTAACACTTAAGATAGTGAGTCTTTAATTTTAGCTAGTTTTCTTTGTTTATTTTTGTTTATTTGTTTTTTGAGACAGGAGCTCCCTGTAACCCTAACTGGCCTAGAACTGGCTATATAGACCAGGCTGGCCTTGAGCTCACAGAAATCCACCTGCCTGTGCCTTTAGAGTGCTGGGATTAAAGGCATTCCCACCACACCCTACTTAATTTTAGCTACTTAATTATGAGTTCACTTACCTCATCATAGTTTAATTTGAAATTCTATAATGTCTATGTTAGTATCTTATTGATATTTATTTATCCTCTTCATTTCTTGGAGATATATTTATTCAAATTTTGCCTATTTCAAAATTCAGTTGTTAATCTTCTTTAGCCATGACAGATTCTAATATTAGAGATTTGTCTCTTCTTTTAATAGAATTTTTGCTAATTTCATATGATATATTTTTATTATACTTAGATCCCCTTCCACATCTGCAAACCCTCTTTAGGACTGCCCCATCCAAATTCATGTACTCTATTATTATGAATTAAAGAATTAAATTTGTATTCCCAAATGCCCTTTGGTGTGGGTCTATCCCCTGGAGCCTGGTCAACCTACCAAGAATTTCACATTTAAACAAAATTGACTTTCTCCCTCCCAGCAGCCATCAGTTGCCAATATGTCTTCAGATAGGAGTGGGGTTTCTTTTTATATCCCCATGTCTATGGGTATATATTTTGCAAATATTTTTTTCCCAGACTGTGCTTTTCTCATTCATTTCCATAAGAGTATTTTTGAAAATCAAAAGTTATAATGTGGCTGAGACTATACTAGTGATATTATTTATAAAGTAAGTCTAAAAATACTTTGGAATGTATATCTTTTATATATTAAGTTTTCCAAACCTACAATACTAATATTTTCTCATTTGTTTTCTTATAAATTATGGTCAATATCTACTTTATGCACATGACTCCATTATTCTAACAATGTCATTAACTTTTTTCATTATTGAAAGATTTTCATACCTTTGTAGAATTTTAAGCAAATGCATTTGCAAACACTTCTGGGCTCTCCTTATGTTCCAAAATACTTTTATACCTCTGGAATAAGACCAAAAACAAATTGTTGTGAATACTGTAGCTTTTCTTCTGTTTAAAGTCCTATAACTTTTTTCTCTTGAAAGAATGTTTTAGCCATGCTGGATCTGTATTTTCCTATAGAATTTAGGATCAATGTTTTGATTTCTTGAATAACAAACTGTCTCTAAAGAGGTTTTTTTTTTTTTTTTTTTTTTTTTTTTGAGACATAATCTTGCTGTGCATCCGGGTTGGCCTCAATATCTCAAAACCAATCTCTTTCCTCATCCTTTAGAGTGCTGGGAATACAGGGATGTGCTACCAGTGTAGCATTGTATCTAACCACCCTGGGAACATTGCACATCTTAGTGTGAGTCTTCTAATCCTCATGCCTGGTCCATGCTTCTACTTACATACCATTTCAAGTCTCTCAGTTTTGGTACAAACTTTCAAGAGTCAAGACTTGTGTGTGTTTTGTCAATTTTGACTATATATATTTTCAATGTTCTATACTATTGTGATACATTTCTTTTCAAATCCAGACTTTGGGTAGTATAAATATACACCACTTAATGTTTCTTCCTCTATCATACATCCTTGTATCCTGCAAACATGCTAAGTTCACTTACTGGCTATCCTAGCTCCTTTGTGGATTCCACAAGCTTTCCTGCACAGATGATCACATTGTCTGAGAAGAAAATTTTGCATCAATTTTTCCAAAAGGGAACACCATTAGGACTGTTTCTTAGGCTTTGTTAAACTCTTTCATAATGTAGTCATCAGATTTTATCTTAAAATATTAATGTAGTAAATCAAAGCAGTATTTAAACTACATTGTAGTATATCCACTGACATTCCCCAAGACGACTCCACTTATTCATGATGAACTGAACTTTGTATATGTCACTATATATGTTTCCTTGGATTTTTGTTAAAAATTTTTACATTTATAATAACAAGAGCTGCTTTCCTATAATTGATTTTCATGGTTTTGTCTGTTTCTTTTTTATCAAGATAATGCTGTTCTTGTACAATAATTTGGATAAATCTCATCCCCTTAAGTTGGTCAGTCATGGAACACTCCAGTGAGATGAGAATGGAAACAAAGGAATTAGCTTTTGATAAAAATGGAGACTTGCTCTAACGGAATGATTATCTAACAAGACTATGTATGAGAAACACCTGAAAATGTATTTAACTCAACTTTGGTTATTATAAGGTCCAAGATGAATACAGTAGCTGTCATTTACAAAAAAGCACAAATCTCCCCTGGTTGCTTTCTATATAGGAGATCCACATGTTGAGAAATTTTCCTACTCTGGACTTCTTGAAGCATTTCCTACATCCAAAAGCAGCACAGTCCCCTGAGAATTTTCCAGAAAGCAAGTGGTCTGCTCTTTCTAGTGCTGCTCAGTAATTCTCTGGGATCAAGTAAAGGAAGCCAGTCCCCTAGTACCCTTCAAGTGGACTTCTAACCACCCTAAAGTTTGAGGAAATTAGTGAGAAAGGAGGAGAGAGGGAGGGATGAAAGGAGGAAGACAGAGAGAGAAATGCAGCTAATTTTGAGCATTTGTTGATGGAAAGTCAGACTATCTCATCTACACTGGCATCTTTTTTAACCTTAGCACTTGGGAAGGTCTGAGCATAAGTGAAGTGAGGAAGGGCCAGCTGTTTGAGTAGTGTTGAAATGCATGGATGATCATTAGGAAGCTGAAAAGCAAGCAGTGTTGTAGTAGACGGATGGTCATTAGGAATTTGGAGGGTGAACTGCTGACATTGTTGGTTTCTTGATGTTCATCTAAGAACTATGATTGTTAGATTTCATTGATGCATATTTGCTCAGTTTTAGAATCTTCTTCCATGCTCAGAGATGCTCAAGGTTGCAGGGTGAAGGCAGTTACTTGGATTTATATGTGACTCTGTTACCATTGGGCAAAGGGGAAAATACCCAGAATCAATAGAGGAGAGCTTTTCCAAGTAAGTTAGTAACTATGACCATGCCTTACAGTCTTCAGTCTGTTTAAAGAGAGAAATGAAAACAAAAGGATGATAATTTACAAAGAAAACGTGTGTGATAGTGCCTGTGGATCCAAAGCTCTGGATAAGATGGAAAAACTATTTCAGTAATCATATTCTTCAAAAGGAGTTGGGAGTATGAATTGTCATGGCAGAAAAATGAAGCGTTTGCTTTTGAGTTGCCTATTTTGTAGTAAGAGGAGACAGGTACCACACTGGTGTGGAGGTGAGGCTACTGTGCCAGACTATGGACACTGAGAGGCTACAGACTGGGTGAATGAGATGCTTATGGGAGTACTGAAATTCTCTTTTATGAATGATGCTAAGCAGAGCAGTAGGAAGATGAGTAATTGACAAATGTCTAAGGACTGAATCAGAGTCAGAAAACAGAGAAATACTATCATCACGGGATCTAAACTTGTAGTTATCACTAGCGCAGGAGCTGCAGGTAAACATACATCTTTCTAACTCATTATTTTGATAGCCACCACGATTTCCAAAACATTTTCTCCTAGCATGTCCTAAGGTCAGAGAATTATTTTATAACCTGATATTACAATTATTATGTGTCTGAAAAGGACATCCTTTTCCGGATGTGGCTATACATATACCCCCCCAAAAAATAATTAAAGTAGCAACCAGTCATCCTGTAGAACTTTGTGAAGAAACACTGATGTATATCGTCCTCATGTTTTTCTCCTATTCATGACAGGAACAAAAATGTTGGCTTTGAAAGACTCGTACCAGCTCAGAAGTACAAAGATGGAGATTGCTGCCTCTGTGCCCTGCTAGCATCCATTCTAATTCTGTTTTTCAAATCCACAGAGAGTGAAGAAGTTTATCAAAGGCAGGTGCTGTCAGTCTCATGTATCATCTTTGGAATTGTCATCGTGGGCATGTTCTGTGCAGCATTCTACTTCAAAAGCAAGTAAGACCATTTCTCTGGCGTTAAAAGGTTACTTCTCAAAGAAAGCACTTTTCTTTTGCGTTCAGCATTTCAGCTCAAAGCAGGGGATCCTTTGTAAATTGGAGCAGCTATCTGCAAATGACTCAGGACTTTTCATAGGCTACAGTGTATGCATGGAGGTGGGGGCATCTCAGGTGCACATAGTGATCATTTACAGAGTTTAATGCTTACCTGCATTAAAGACTCAGTGACTGCCACTTAAAGGATCTTCCTAATGGGAAAAGGGACACTGCTGTGAACCTAAATGCTGCCAAGTGTTGTCTTGCATTTTCTAAAGAAAAAGTAATAGAGAGAAACACTGTTCTTTTCCAATTTTACCTTGTGCTCATAAAAGTTTAGCCATATATATAAAAGAACACCAAATAATGTGCATTGGTTCACCATTCGGAATGCACAACTTGAATATTCTTTCAACTTCACTTGCCAAGGAACTATCTGTAGATGAAGCTACTTATTGGTGATTCGTAAATTAGAACTAAGCATACATATTACATATATATATGCAATGTGTTCATAGCTCTATTTTGGTAAATGAATTTGAATGGAATTATTTATGGGAATGCAGATGAAAACATTAGCCTGTTGGATCCTTGAGCCTTAAATCATCAGCTCCAATTTCATCCCTGCAGTTTGTCTGAAATCAAAGCCAATGTGAAATTCCCTTTCTTAAGACTTTAATTTTTCTAACCATTTTATCTTCTAAAAATTGATCAATTTCCAGATATAGTTCATAATGCCTGTAAGTTATCCATGCCAGTTTTTAAAGAGAACTACAATTATGGCTTTAAATAAAAGAACTGAGGCATGACTGTAGAATTATAACAACTATTTTAACATTTTCAGAATGCTTTAGATTTTCAGAACTACTGTAATAACAGCACAGAGACTTTCCCTCTACTGTAGACTTGGTTTCCCCTATTATTAGTGTCCTGTATAGTGTGGTAGTCTCATTACATTAATGTACAATAATTGTTCTGTGTCACTAATGTCCATACATTTAGATTTCTTTAGTTTTTGACATAGTGTCCCTTTTCTTACTCAGACCCTCATCCAGGATACCACATTCCATTATCTGTCAAATCTCCCAGGTCTGGTCTGTGACAGGTCTGCTTCCCAAACATGGAATATTGGTGCCAGGCATACTGGGATTTTAGTCATTAAATCTCAACTTTTATAATGTGCTTTCTACTGCATTTTTCAAATTATGTGTTAGTCAGCTTCCGGTACTAGAACAAAGTGCCTGAAATAATTAATGCAGACTTATTTTGGCTCAATTTTGTATATTTCAATCCAAGACTGATTAGCCCCATTTCTTTTGTGACATATTGAGGCAACACATCATGGCAGACTGTGACGCACAGGAAGGCCTTTTGCCTTATGTGAACATGTGTAGAAAAAGAGGAGGAGAGGCTGGAGAGATGGCTGAGTGGTTAAGAACGCTGAATGTTCTTCCAGAAGACCCAGGTTTAAATCCCAGTGCCCATATGGCAACTAACAACTGTCTGTAACTCCAGATCCAGGGGATCTAACCCCCTCTTCTGACTTCCACAGGCATTGTACAACATAGATGCACTTCCATACAAGCAGGCAATACACTCATACACATAAAATTAAAATAATAAAATATTAAGAAAAGAAAAAGAGGAAGAAGCAGGGTCCCACTGTCCCCTTCAAGGACATGTCCACGATGACTAGCAAACCTTCCAGAAAGGTCCTACTTCTTGTAGTTTCTACCAATATCTCTGAGTGCCAAACAGGAAACTAAATGAAACACACAGACCTTTAGAGGACATTTTTAGATCCCAGCTCTACTAGATAATATGAGAATTTGTTTTAAAATACTAACGTGTATAAGCAACAAGGTAGACAATTGCAGCTCCAGGGTGGTGACTCTCAGTTCTAATCTAGATTTCTGCTATAAACCACTCTACCATATTGGTTCAAATCATCCTTCTGCTGGAGTACACAACTTGAATATGCCTTAAATTTCGCATGCCAATGAACTATCCATGGATAACGATACTTAATTGGTGATTCATTCAGTGAAGCTGACCACACTGAGCCAGGGCTGTTTTCATAACCAATTTGGGATTGTGGCTGTGATTTTATCTCAACCAGCCACAGATGCATTTGGATTGCCAAGCTGCCATTGACTTACTGTATTACTGAGAATATTTCACTGCATTTTTTAGTCTTGGTTTCCTTTTAAGTAGAATCCAAATAAAAATAATGTGTAGCTTACAGATCTGAACTAAGGATGAAATGAGATAATTCTGTGAAGGGCATACATAGTATTTAAAAGAATAAATCACTCACCATGGCTTGCTACTGTTAGCACTCTGGAACTTAGAGGCCAGATGCTCCCAAGTCAAGAGCAGCACCATAACCCAGAAAAGGTAGCAATACTGAGCAGGGCATTAGAAGTGTCTTCTTGCAGTAGCCTAGTAATGTGTAAGAAAGGAATTGTGTTTACCAGTAAGTAACTTACCATAGTAAGTAATCACTTATTCTTAGAGTATAATTTGCAGTTGTACCACATTTGGCAAAATATTAATTATATTAATCACAAAATATATAGATCAGCTGGATAAGTAAAGGACATCTATCTTAAGGACTGTCAGTCTCTCTTCCTGAGCAACAAGGGGGATCTGAAATCAACATGTGCTCCTGGGGCTCAGTGAGGTAAAGCTGTGGAATACAGGCATTGTTCAGTGTCAAGATTCCTCAGAGGAGCAAGTCAATGAAAGACCACCCATTGGGATGCCGTCCTTCAGCCTGATCTAACAGAAGAGTTAGTGGCCATCGATGGCTGCTGTGGGAGGAAGAGTCAGTTTTCTTCACGGATGTGGCTCCTGAACTTGTATTAACAGTAAAATGTACACGTTTCAGCAATCTGCTTCTGTCGTAAGCTAGCAGCTTCTGAGTAAGAGATTTGGGGCTTATAGGAATGCTCTGGTGTGCTGTTGTGATTCAGGTCAGCAACAGGATTTTTAAAATTTATTTTTTGCCTTTTTTATGTGTACAAGTGTTTTGCCTGCATGTATATAAGTGACCACTGCATGCAAGCCTGCAGAAGTCAGAAAAGGGCACATAGGCTACCCTGGAACTGGAGATAAGGATGGTTGTTATCTGCCTTGTGGGTGCTGAGAAGACTCAATCTTGTAGCAGAGCAGTCAGTGCTCTTAACCACTGAACCATCACTCTGGTCCCAGCAGTGGAGGGGTCAGTCCCCAAGTTGCCAAAATACAATCCTAAAAAGAGCTATCAATCAACCTGCACTATCATAACTCACCTTCGATGGCAGATCGGTGTGAGGCTTTGACGATTACACCATTGCCCCACATTGGGTACAAGACCAAGTCAGCTTCAGAGCGCTTCATGGACTTGCTCAGGCTCTCACTGTACCCCATTCCAGCTTTTCCTTCTGCACAGCCCTGCTTTCTTCCCTTCCCATCCCTTTGATAAGTGCTCTACCAAAATCCCCCCAGTAAAATCCCAAATGCTGTGTCCTTCTCAAGGCCAACTTCCTCAGGAACTCAACCTGTGACCCTCCAAATAACCAGTACCAACAGGTATATAGTATCTACTGTTCCATTATACACATCCCCTTTCCAATGCTTTGGGCCAGAGAAACTTCAAATGCACTAGTCTGTCAAGTTTTGGTCCTGATTTTGTCAGGCCTGTAGCATTCTGGAATGCAGTATAGAGACCTTTCCTTCCCCAAAGCAACTGTTTTCAAAGGAATGCTAACAGAAAAGCAGTCAAGTTTAAGCATTTCCCATTTTCATTTGCTAAAGGAAGAAGGAAGAAAACAAAGCAAAACACCTTATACTTAAGAGAGAAGAGCAGGAACTGAGGGACGGCAAAGAGCTGAAGGCAGGTTCCAAATGAAAGACCACTGATTTTGAAATATTACCAAGTCAGGTCTTGAGAAGAGATAAAGGAAGAGCCACTTATTTATTTATTTTTATTATTTTTTAATATTTTATTTATTATTTTTATTTTATGCGTATGATTGCCTGCACGTATGTGAGTGCACCACGTTGTGAAATGCTGCAGAGGTCAGAAGAAGGCATTGGATTCCCTTGGAACTGGAGTTAAGGATGGTTCGTAGTCGCCATGTGGGTGCTTGGAATTGAACCCAGGTCCTCTGCAAGAACAGTCAGTTCTCTTAACCAGCTAAGTCATCTCTCCAACTCCCCCTTAAATGCCTCTTAAACAGCCTTTTCTTCCCCAGGAGGATACCCCTAAGGTGTTGAGGAGGGGTCTTTTAGGAGGTGCAGCAGTATACAGGGGCAGTGGGTCCTAGGTGGGTCATTTTAGCCTCTGAGCCTGGTTCTCTGCCAGCAGGAAAAGGTCAAGAATGCACCCCTCTTGGAGTCCCTGAGAAGGGAAAGGACTTTAGCTGAGCACTGTCCAGCCTCCCCAGAAGCTACATTCGGTGAGGCTAAATTCAACTTTTAAGAGGAATAGTAGGAGCCAGGTGTGGTAGCTCAAACTTTAATCCCAGCACTCAGGAGGCAGAGGCAGGTGGTTCTCTGTGAGTTCAAGGCCAACCTGGTCTACCATACAGAGTTCAGCTGGTGGTCTACCATAGAGTTCCAGGCCAGCTGGAGCAGGAGAGTTTTATGGACAGAAGATGTCATGAGATCCCCTGGAACTGGAGTTATAGATGGTTGTTAGCCACCATGTGGGTGCTAGATTTTGAACCCAGGTCCTCTGCAAGAACAGTCAGTTCTCTTAACCACTGAGCCATCTCTCTAGCCCCAGAGCCACTTACTTAAATAAAAGGGAAAGAACACAGGAAATACATTCAGATGTTTTGTGAAGAACATTTCTTTAAAAACTTGTATTTTCCAGACTCTGAACTATAGGATTACTGAAAAGACAGTGCTTCATCTACTTTAATTCCAGGGGTATAACTGAGTGTTTGCTCTGTGCCAAGCATCCTTTTCCAGCTTCATGATGATTTATTGACTAGCACCTCCAGACTTCCTGTTTGCTTTTAGAATGAATCCCTGGTTATGGCTGCAGTATGCTTTTGAAATGTTCATATGATAGACTTATTTTTTTTATCAACAGTTTACAGATTTGTTGTTAAGAAATAGAATATTACAACAAGATTAAAGCAATTTAGAGTGTTGGAGATTAAAGTTCCCCAAATAATTGGAAATATAAAAGAAGAATCAAAATATCAGCAGCTTCACACTCATGATTTAAATTCAAAGCGGGAAATGGTGCTCCTAGCCTCTCAATCCTTAGAAAATGCCGGTGTCGTGAAAGATACAATTAGCAAAATCTTCTCCTTTATATTTGGGGCAATGTTCTAATTCCTCTGCAACATCTTCCCACAAAACCGAGCATGCTGGATAATGAAAAGGAAAAGAGAGGAACGATTTGCCTGTCCTCCTGTATTTAGCTGCCCCGTTATACATGGAAGATAACTCTTACAAATTCCGGGTTCTAGTTTGATCTTCAGCACCATAAAAATGGTTAAGGATTTTTGTTCTTTGGGCTGTTGGTAACAGATTAGCTCTCTAAACAGATGCAAAAGAAATATACATATTAATATACACAAAAGGCATACCTATTTGAACTATATAAATATCAGCATATCTTTGCAAATATGTTAGTCAAGCCCTAGCTTTAAGTTTTAGCTTTAGTTACTTCTCTATGGCATTCCTAACTCTTTAAATGTGAGTACTTAGTATTAGGGGTCTCAAGTATACATGTGGCATTGGCACTATTGGTTGTTGACCCAGCTATGTAAACAAGTAATACCACATTGTTTCTAATTGCAATTATTTCTTCATGTGATTGAAATGGAGGAAGAGTTCCCTTTGTCACCTGAATTTATCTAGCTCTAACACATGACAAACATAGATATTCGGAATAAACAAATTTCCAAAGTTAAGAACATGGGGCTAGAGCAATGGCTCAGTGGTTAAGAACACTGGCTGCTTTTGCAGAGGACCTGAGTTTGGTTCCCAGTTCCCACATGGAGCTAACAATCATCTGTAACTCCAGTTAATTCCAGGGTATTCAACACCCTATTCAGACCTCCACTGACATTGTACAGCATGGGTGAGCTCCATACAAGCAGGCAAAACATACACATAAAATAAACATACACATAAAATAACAATAAATAAAATTCTCTATAACAATTAAGAACATAATAAATATATGAAAATACTCATGCATGTATTCAAACCTGCAGGAAACAAGCTAAACAAATCCAAGAACAGCTGAAAGAGGCACAGAATGGGAAAAACTACAGCCTCAAAGCAACCAGCGCAATGGCCAAGTCGGAGAGCTTGGTGAAGAGCCACGTCCAGCTGCAAAATGTAAGCTGCATGTCTGCATAGTCCCCATGCTGCCCAGTTCAGAGTGTTAGTCATAGGGAAGAGTAGCATGTGAGCAGAGTCCTAGATTTGTCTAGGACTATAGAGATAATTGCTCAAAATGTCTTGTAGCGCTCTCCCTCTCTCTCTCTCTCTCAGTAATTGTTTAAATTGTCTTGTAGTGCTCTCTCTTCCTCTCTCTCTCTCTCTCTCTCTCTCTCTCTCTCTCTGTATGTGTGTGTGCACACGTGTGCGTGCCTATGTGTATATATTAATCTCTGATAGTGATTAGAGTTTAATTGTTTATGACCTAAACCCCTTTGGGTCTTTGCTTTGGCCAGGGATACACTGTCACATTTCTGGAGCTGACTGACAGTGGAGTCAGGTTCCAACTGTGCTGCAAAGGGCATGGAAGCATCATCAGGCAGCCAGCTCATGAGATACTAGAACACAAAAAGAGGATAAAATCATGGAAACCAAGAATGCATGCTATTTTCAAGCCATTCCTAGTTAGGGTAAAAGGAGAAGCGAGATGAGAGACATGGCCCCAGAGTGATTTCTAACAGGACTTAGGCTTCATGTGGGCCATAGCTAGAAAAGAAATGTAAACTCTCCCTGCTGCATTCATTGTGAGGTAGTTGTAATCATTTCTGAGATACACTGCAAAACAGTAAATTAGAGACAAAGGGATGCTATCTAATGCATGCTGAGATATGCCTCCTAGGGTAGCAATTCCTTGCCCCCACCTGAGAATGCGTTTCCAGATTCAGAGGCATGAAATGAAAGAACAAATGCCGTGGTACAAACCGCATATTTGAGTATAATAGGCAATCACCCAGGACACATTCATGCCCTTCCAAATGCTTAAATCGCTGAGAATTTGCACATCATTTGTGATTCTAAGAAATCATTACCCCACAAGTTGCCATTATGATGTGTGGAACAGATGTATTTAGATGGTTTAATGTGAAATTCATAAATCTGAATTGCTTCATGGCAAAGTTTCCCTAAACTTTTATTCATTGCAATGTGCAGGGATTGTTCTCTTCAGAAACAGAGAGATTGCTTCCACTAATGATCTCTAATGAGTATAATCCCAGCACCTTCGACAACCACCATGATGAGGCTTTAATTCCTTAGCAACTGGCCTGTGAGAGACAAAGCTGGACACCCATGGAAGCAGTGGAGACAGAATATAATCAGTAATATAACGTTCGGGCATGAACTGTATTTTAACTTCAACAAGTTGACTTGTGACTGGGCCTTTTAAAGGGAGGACTGAATAGAAACAGGGCAAGCAAGGTTTAATCAGAGATGGGAAGTTGAAGGTGCACAGGGTTCGCCAGTGTAAATGCCACTAGGCAGCTGTGTCTGCCAGCTGCCAGTTATTGAGTGTAGAATTCTATCTTTCACAGGAAGGGGAAATGGCCTCTACCGTTCCTGATGATTACATTTCAAAGAATGGCCTCTAGATCCTCATGAAAAATACTCCTGAGTCACAAGGGAAACAAACATATTGATGATTATGAATCCTTCTCAGCAAATGCTTTAGGAAGGGATGGCAAGGACCTGTCATGGGGTACTAGAGAGAGCAAAGTTTAAGGTCTTTTGGGATTTCTGATTTTGTTTCTAGGCAGGCACTTTAAGGGGACAAGGGTCATTATGGGAGGGCAGCATTGAGCTATTGGAAACTGAGCTCATGCTTGTTCACGCCTTTTAATGTGATGTGAAGTAGGTGGACAGAAACATTCTGGTGACAGGGTAGTCTTCACAGAACAAAGACTGGGCCTAGTTGGAAGCGGTCAGGTCAAAACGAGTCTGCCACTCGCTGTGCATTGGGCAGAGATGTGCTTCAGTCAGATCGTACATGTTCTCCCCCGCGTACAGTCTTACTCCCTTCTTCTCCATTTAACATTGTCAGCTCCTGTATGGTTACCTCGAACTCTGCTGGGGTAGCTGCATAATTGTCCACAGCGGCTTTGTCACAATGTTTTCGTCCATCTCCCTCCTAGTCGGCACTCGGTTTCTTTTCTATGATTAACTAGTCTCTTCCCTCTCGTCCCCTGATTGGAATTATCGTGGTTGGGATTATAAGGAAGGAGAGAGGAGTTACAGGGCTTCCAGCATTTGAGAGACTGTGAGCACATGTGATTTCTAGTGTCCCACTCCTTCAACCCACCACCCTGTCATCTTTCTCCGTTTCTCTTTCACCTCTATTCTCCCTGTCCTCGGAAGCCTACCTCACCCTAACATTTTCTGTGTTGGCACAGGGCAATAAGGACCTGGAAGGATCATTTCCTTTGGGATCAAGGGACAGTCTGGGGATGGCATCTTTTGTATTCCTATCGTTGTTTTAGCAGAAGAGGACATGAGAGGAAAACTGTTCGCTTTAGCTTCTCTGATAGGCTCCATAATAGGAGGCAGATTCACAAGAGTGAGGCAGAGTTTTATTTACAAATACATTATGCGTCTAACACACGGAGTACACTGAAATAGATAAGTCAAAAAGATGTTTAGAATTGAGGCTTATATGCCATTTTATGACAAAGGAAAGGGGGTTTGGAGTGTCTAGGTAGGGAAGAAGTTTATGGGAATATGATCAGGAAAAATATGACATAAATGTTAGTTTGTTATGCATATTTAAGTGCCTCTCATAGGCGACAGGTGCTAAAAGTTTTCTTTCCTGGTACAGGAGAGGGAGATGCTTGTACAAACAGAAATGTCCTTTCCAAAATGAAAATCTGTCCTGTTTGTAGAGATTACCCTGTATTCACCTGTTCTTGGTGGCTTTAACACAAAATCATCTTCATGGCAAAGAAATGCATTTGGAAGTACTGCATTTGGGCATCCTTCTGGATACATGGATTTCTGTGCCTCACATGGTGTGATAAGGTAAAGTGTACAGTTCCAGGAGATCAACAGTGTAAATGACTAGACAGAAATGGAGAGACCGGGAGATAAAGGGGCAAAAATAAATAAATAAATAATACACAAATAAATGAAAAATAAATAATAAATAAATAAAAGCATTCAAGGAAAATGTAAGGAGAGTAGGGTTCATGAAGAGACAGATACAGCAAACGATTGCACTTTGCACATTGCTGGCCAGTGCTCAAGGAGTTAAAGGAGCATGCCTCTTTAACTAGGCTAGATTGGAGTGAACAAAATACTTCCCAAAGGCACATGACAGGTTCAGCACTAGAAGGCAGAGTGGGTCATTGCCAGCTTGTTTTGTCTCTATCACATTTCCTTCGCTAAATTGAATAGTAGCACAGGGCATCCTTTGAAACTTGCATCTCTTTATTTGATACTGAAATGTAAGGTCTGTCCACATGTTTCTTGTCAGGTTTCCTCTTTGTGAGTTAGACACTGATAGCCTTTGCTCACAATTTGATTTCAGGAAGCAAATACCAACTTAACTGCAATTTTCTGTGCTGTAAGTTGAGAGAAAACAGTGATGGAGAATATACATTGTTTTTGTTTTTGTTTTTTTCAAAAGGAATGAAAAAATTTAAGAACATTTGCTTTCCTTCAATCCAGGTAAAATGTATAAAGGTAAATGTTCGGAGAATCTGTTTGAAGATCAGGAAGCATGGGTAACCTTAAGAGACTAAGATAGGTGGTTGAGAATTTTGGGATGCATTGAATGCATATAATTCTGACAAGAACTATGGGGAAATACCAATGTCGTGATACCAAATCATTAAATATAAGAGTGATGTGGCAGTGGATCGTTTGGCAAAGGAATTAACACACAATTGCCCTTCAGAAATGAACTTTATTAAAGAAAGGAACTTCAGAACAATACAGGGGAACATGGAATCCTTTTTGGGGTTCTTAGTCCCATTAATGGACTCAAACAGAAGTTGTAGGACAATTTTATTAGCATTTAAAGAAAAATGCCCAGAGTAGGCAAACTATAAATCTCAGCAGCTATCTTGATGAGGAGAATAGAGGAGAGAAAGAAAAAAGCCATAAATCCACACCAGGTACTAGTTAGGACCACACATAAGGAGCTGCAAAGCCAGCACAGAACATCTTCTTAACTCTCTGCCAGGGAGACCTGTGGGGGCCAAAGCCTGGTTTCTTCAGGCTGCGGAATCTGACTTCTTAGAGTGACCAGAGTCTTAAAGGGGCAGGCTGTGATCTAACACACATATGATAGATGAAATAATACTATGAAATAACATGCTGAGAACACACTTAGTATCGTCCTGAATGATACCTGTTGTTGCCTCCTTTCCTTCTAACAATTAATACTTAATTTATACAGCATTAGATAAATTGTGAAAAGATGTAAAGGAAGAGGAGACAGAGAGGTGAGTGGGGTCTCCTTAAAGTAATATATTTATTAGGGTTCTTATAAACTTATCATCTCTGCATACATCATGGCAGAGCTCTGAAGAGAGCCTTCAGTTCTGCCAGTCAAAGAGAGGAAAACTTGTCTGTTTTTAAAAGTTTTAAGTAGAGAAGGAAGTCCCATACCTCAAAGCAACAAGCTTATGAAGTAGCCTGAGGTCTGGTCTCAGGTCCTTTTCTTTGCAGGTAAAGAATTACAAGATGAGAAGTTTGCAGTCACAGCACAGTCAAGGTTTACTAAAGTACACGCAACATCCCACACAGCAAAAATACTCCTTGTATGGGCAGGGGTGCAGTGCTGCAGCACAGTCCAACTCCTGAAGAGTGAGGGCTTTTATATTCTAAAAGGTGGGACACCACTGGGCTCTTCTTTCCCTTTGGTTTAGACAGGGCAAGATGCATGGTGTTAGTTTGTTCATTCATATGAAAGCAGAAACCTGATTGGGTAGAGAAAGGGCAGGAAATGTGAAATTTCCACCAGGGTACCAAAAGAGTCAACTTTGGACAAGAACCCAGAATTAGGCTAGTTTAGGTACTAGTGAAAATAATTGGAACACAATTGACATAATCTGGGGTCTCCTCTGCTCCCTGGGGTCTCCTCCCTTATCTCTCTCCTATTTTGGTTCTCTTAGTTTATAAGCAAT